ATGAAAAAGACGAAGCATAGAAAAGAATGATTAAGCCTAAATTTTTAAAAAAATATATATAAATTTGGAAAAGAAAATTAAAAGAATCATCAAAAAAGTTTATGAAATAATAATAAAAATAAATTTGGAATTTTGTTAAAATAAAAATAAAATATTTTTAAATAATTCCGATTTTTAAATAGATAATTTCGTGTTTTCGCCTAGATGTTTGGTCAAGATTTCTTAACCAACACATTTTAAAATGGTATATTCAGGGAACCAAATAAAAAGTTAAAATTTTTGTAACATTGTCATCTAATTTTTTAGTAAATTTTGCTTATAAAAATGCCAAAAAGAGACAAAAAGTCATGTGTGTGTATTAACTTCCAGTCCAAAAATTATATTTTTTTCTAGCTAAAACATCAATACTTGCTTAGAAATAGGAAAAGAAAAATTCTTTTTCTTTCTACATAAAGCCTTCATTTAAATATTCAATTTGTATTAATGCCTTATAGAAAGAAAAATGCCCGAAAGGCAGAAATGCTGGGTAAGTGAGAGATAAAAATTGGTCTCTAAAAGACTAAAGAAGACTAAAGAAAGCTTAGTGGCTTAAAGAAGGAAAAAATGTGAAAACGGCAATGGAAAAGCCTTTCTAGCAATTTGAAATTTAATTAAAAATTTAACTGAAACCCTTTATTTGGTAATAAGTTCAAAATGGTAAAAAAGCAAAAAAGTAATATTTATTGAAGGCTGTATTGTGAGAGTCATACGATATAGGTATCTTGAAAAATCTCGATCTCAATAACCGAACTTTTCAGTTGGGATCATATTTTTATTTAGGCATATCTCCAGTCTCTTAAATGGAAATGTTAAGAAATATTAAATGTCTCATCTATCTAAAAATCGGCACACGCCAAAGTAGACGCGCGGCCATAACGGCACAAAGCCAAAACTTGCTGGAAATTTTCTGGCCCTTATCAATTTTGGTCCAAACTCTTTATCTCAATGAGAAGAATCGTTTAAACTAAAATTGGTAAAATTCAGAAATCTTGAAGCATGTTATGGGCTTGCATCGTACTACTTGGGCTGTACCCTCTAAAATCAGAACCGACGAAAAAATGGAAGAAATTTAAAATTGTTTGAATATTTAAAATGATTTTTAATTTAAAAATGTTGCTGATTCATAAATTAAAATTTTTAAATTAATTTTTTTGGAAAAATTTTTTTAGGAATTGTATTAAATAGGGGAAATGGGAATAAGTATAAAATTTTATTGTTGTTAAGCTTTAATTGTGAAAATAATACTACAATAGGATTATTTCTCTAAAATTTTTGCAAATAAAAAAAGGTGGGTGGGTTAAATAAATAAATTTTAGTGACGAATATTTGACAATAATTAAAAGTTTTGTTAAAATTACACAATATGAGGAAGGACAATCAAAAATTATTCAGAAAAAGTTAAATTTCTGTTGCGACAATTTTTGTGTTTAGTTAGATTCGGGGACGGTACCCTAATATTCTTCAGTATTTCTCTCAATTTTTTCTGTATTTCTCTCAATTTATCTCCATAGCATCTAAAGGAATTACGTTACGGAATAGAATAATTTCAAAATTCCGACCTCGAGTTTAGTTCCTCTTTCTTAATTCAATCATCGTTGTGTATTGTAAATTTTTATACGAGACTACCAATCAACTATAGAAATGATCTAATTTGGCCTTGATCTTTCCTTCCTATCATATTTATACGATTTCTTTAAGTGCATTCTTTAAATAGTCTAGCAAAACATTAAAGAAATAAACGAATTAAACTTTAGATCAAGTCTAAAATAGTACAATATGTAGTTGGGACCCTCTATGTCTTTGCCAGTCTTATAATTATTTTTTAAATGTTTTATTTTAACTAAGAATTATTATATATTTTTTTAAATATTCCATCATATTTATAGTATTTTGATAACTGAAAAGCAAGGCATAATGTTCGATATTTTTGTAGTCTAAATGTATATCATAGTTGTGGACAACGACTGAAACAATTATTTTTATTTTTATTAATTTCTAATTATAAAACCTCACAAATTAAAAATTATAAAAGTTTTACGTTTTTAACCTTGATTTATTTAATATTTTAATATTAAAATAGTGTAGTTAGTTTGTTGTGTATTGTGTCATTATAGTATAAAAGCCAGTGAAAGCGTCAGTCTCTAGCGGGGCTAGTCACTGTTCCACATTGTTCATTTCTACATCGGATAAACTGTTATTCTTGTGCACGTCAACATTAGTTAAATCTCGGACATAACCGGACAACCTCCGGTTGTAGCTTAGTTATTAAAAGAGCTATTTGTTTTTTTATTTTAGATGTTTAAATTTATAATTCTTTGTATTTTATATCTAAATATTCATTTAAATTTAAATTGCAATGGAAGAGTAGTTAACGTTGGAGTGAAAATCAAGGATGATTGGGAAGAAAAAAGAGAATTTATTTATCTAAAAAATGTTGAAATAAAGAAACGTTTTGTATTGATAAAGAAATTAAATACAAAGAATAAATTAGACGATAATCTCTACGGTAACCCTAAACTGTATAGCCAACTTGAATTTAATCCTGATAAAAATATTTTCAATGTCAAAATAAATAATACTTCAAAATATATCTCTCAATTAAAGAGAAAAATTTTTATTGGAATTGAAAATAATGGAATTATTCAAAAAATTCTGCCTGATTTGGAAAAACAGGTATAGTACAATAACTTATACCTAAATACTGTAAAGCATATAGCTATTTAATGCCTAAGTCTGGTCTATTGAGGCCCGCTTACTAAGTCCGGTTATCAGTTCTGTCTCCCAGCCGCAGAATAACCTTTTGCACTAGCTAAAGGAGAGAAATAGCTATAACCCAGCTACCTTACTATACATAAATTTAATTTAAAATTTAAGGTGCTCCTAAATAATAATTTTACTATTGTAAATAATTATTATGAAACCTCTATATTGGATGAGAGTTTAGAAAATATTAAAAGTAATAAAAAAGAAATGTTAATAGAAAACAGTGAAAATTATAAAAAGAAAATTTTGTCAGGTTATTGGAAGGAAATTAATTTAATTGGATATAAAATTGAATTGTTAGAAAAACAAAAAGTTGAATATTTGAAAGAAAAAAGTAGAATTATTTACATAGAAAATCAAATAGGTAAATTTTATTTTATTCATGGCTAACGCAATCATTGTGGCCAGAGCTGCGTCTAAGAAAAAAATCTTCGAAAATCGGAAATCGAAAGAAAAAAACGTCGAAAATTGAATATCGAAATTTCGGCGCATCTCTGCTTGTGTCCCTATACATCAGGGTAAATTTCTATTAAATAATATTATATGTATGTATTCTTAATTATAGGCGAAATTGTTGAAGGAAACAAACGACATTGTTTCTATTGTGGATTTAACCAAGGCACACATTGGTTTAAATTCTTAAAAGAATATTATTTGTGTCAAGTTTGTGGCGATTATAATCGAAGGACTGGAAGTTGTAGACAATTAAATTTGTTGTCTAAAGCTAAAAAGGTTTGTCTCTATCATTAGGAAAATTGTACAAGCAGTTTTCTGAGGCCCTTTAAAAGTAAGTAATCACAAAAATTTTCGCCTGAGGCGATGAAGGTACGAATAAAATACTTTTGTTTCAGCCATCTATGAACAATCGTAAATGTTATACTTGCGGAGTTACACAGACAACACGCTGGCGCCGTCATTCAAAAGTTGGATTTCATTTATGTAATGCTTGTGGCTGTAAACAACGTGGAAATAAAAATCCCTAAGAAACAGATATTTAATGAAAAGTTTGAGTTATACGTCGTTTCAAAAGTCGAAATTTGGTAGATATATTTAACTAATCTACGAACATCTCTGTGTTTCTGAAATCTTTGTTCTACATGTTATTTTTCATATTTCCAATAGCTGTGGCGCAAAATTTTATGCAATCTTGATAATGTTTGTGTCGATACAGTATAACTTGGGAAGTCTTCAAGTTATGTCTAATTTCTTTTTGGGTTGCATGGATTCAGATGAATTTGGAGGAATATCTGAGGATTTAGAGGGATATCGGTAGATTTTCAGTGATTAATGGGATTTAAATGGATATCGTTAGCGTGATAAGTGGGATTCGGAAATTGGATGTTTTATTAAGAGGATTTAGAGTGATATGAGTAAATTAACCCTCAAATCTCGCATTATCCCTGCCAATTAAACCTCAAATCCCTCTATATTCTTCTTAATCTTCAACCACCTGCGACGCAAAAAATGGAAAAAATTTGAGTTCTTGACTTCGAAAATTTCCAACATTTTTATTTTATTGCCAATTGAATTAATTCTTTCTAACAAAACTTGTTGATTTCCTTTACTTTTTGTTTAACAATTCAATTTTATATCCAAGCATACATATTTATTTCATTCTAATGAGTTAATAAAAATTTTTCTTCAAAAATATTAAATAATTCTTATCATTTATTTTTTCGTCAATTGTTTTTTATTTATTTTTACATTTTCTTTAAAATTGTCTTATATCAAAGTTTCAAAACTATAAATTTCATTTTTAATATATTTATTATTTTAAAAAATTTTACTTTATAACGTTTTTAAATTTATAATTATAGAGGATTTGTATAGACTTCAATCTAGAATATTGACAAAATATGGACTGAAAAAAAAATTTGCGACGCATACACTTTCGTAGGACGTATATCGTAGATAGAGTCAATACCACAACTACAACCAAAACCGACTAAGAAAAATAAAATAAATTTATAATCGTTGAAATTTTAAAAATATTGTTTAAAATATTGCTAATTCATATTTTAGAATTTTTAAAATTACTTTTTTGAAAAAAATCTTTAATTTTATTTAACCAGTGAAAAATGACAACATTTTAAAAAATCAACTGGAAATAGTCTATATATTATATTTACGGTATATCAAGTTTTTTAACGCAAAAATGAAATGTCCTCTTCAATTTATCTCTTTAATTCCAGTAAAAATCATCCACACTTTTTTGTTAAAGGACGCGCAGGATTTCCCGCAACAGTTGTGTTTGGCAGAACATCTCTAGTCACTACAGAGCCAGCACTTAGAATATAATTTTTTAGATAATAAAGGCGTCTTCACTATAAAATACAACCTCAAATACCCTCTAAATTAATCGCCTACTTGGGACCGAGTTACAGCATTGTAAAGCTGATTCCCCATATTAAAAACCCCCACAACGAAATTAATGTTCCAATCTGGGCATTTTATTAATATCCCTCCCCCACCCCTATTTATGTCGCAGAATGATTTTCTTTTTATTTTTTCCCTACCTTATAATTGGCAAATTTCCTTCTTTATAAACGTTAATTTTTTCCGTTAGGCCTAGTTGCCGTTTATTTTTTCCTTCATAATAACCTATAAAGTAAAACAGCTTTAAATTGTTAACACAATATATTCGTAAAAGCTGTTTTACTTTATAGGTAATGTTTGGTAGAAAAAATGATTGACAGTAAAAAAGCAATATTAATCCGAGACTCAAATAGAGAGGGGGGCAGGGTATTGATAAAGGGGTACAGCCCAAGTAGGCGCGCGGCCATAACGGCGCAAAGCCATAACTTGCTTCAAGATTTCCGAATATTACCAAATTTAGCATTAAACTTTTCCTTTCATCGAGCTAAAAAGAATGGTACCAAAATTGATGAGCCAGAAATTTTTCAGCAAGCTATGGCGTTGCGCCGTTATGGCCGCGCGACTACTTGAGCGTGTCCCTTAATAAAGTACTACATTACGTCTTGATGACGTTCTAATTTTTGAGTTTCTAATTAAGCTACCAATAAATCAAGCTTTTTTTCAGTCCCAAGAGGTGTATCTTTTAGTGATGTCTCAATATTTTTAAATTACCCAATTATAGCATCATCCCCAATAGTTACTCCGGGAAGTATCATTGCCCCTCCACCAATCCACACATTTTTGCCTATTTTAATAGGCCGACCAAATTCCCAACCTTCTAAACGTGTTTCTTTGTCCCTTGGGTGATCTGCAGGATAGATTTGAACGTTTGGTCCAAACAAAGTGCCGTCTCCAATTGTAACAGTAACCACATCCAAAATACAACAATTAAAGTTAAGAATGACATCTTTTCCCATAAAAATGTTTGAGCCTGGAAAAATATTTTATTTAAAAATATTCAAGATAAAGTCGGAATTCACTTTAAACTAAACTAACTAACTCACTAAACTAACTCACAACCTTGGGATTTTATTTTTATGCATGTATTTAGACATTTTTAAGGAAAATTCGGAGAAATGGATAAATTTGAAACAATTTTGACTTCCTGGCCTTAAAGAGTAGGAATCCTCCCAAAATGGAAAGCAAAAAAATCTTACGTACTCACACATAAACACACAACCAATATCTAGTATTAAGTGTACATGGGACAGGCCGATATACTGCGATCGGCCTGCTCCAACAAAGCTGGGACGCTCTGCTATGGTTTGATGCGGCTTGTCGCGCTGAATCAAACTATGCCAGGACCTCCCGGATTCGACAATTCTGAACAAAGTTATAGCTCGGCAGTATACTGGGCTCGCGGTGTATCGGGATGTAACCGAGTGTACATCCATATGTTTTAGTGAGGTCCATCTACATATCATAAATCATTAATCACCAACCATAATCACAATAAAAAGGAGGCCGTATATCGCAACCTTCTCCCATAGCCCCAAATCGTTCTTTAATAATTTGTTGCCGTTCAGAACGACTGGAACAAGAAGAAGCATTTAAACGAGCCAGCCATTTAGCCGTTAAATCCTGTTCTTGTTCAAGAACATAATCAATACGATAAAGTTCCCCTGCCAACATTCGTTCTTTCATAGGCTTGTTTGGGTCTTTTGGATGTTTTCCGTAATTTTGTGGATCAGACATTGTCTTAAAATTAAGTTTTAAATTTTAAAAAAGTTAAAAAATATTTATTTATTTATTAAAAGTAAAATAAAAATATTAGATAGCAAGTGTATCGATTTTTGCTTTATTTATTTAACGTTTGTACAATATTAAATATATTATTATTTTTTGTATGTAAAATATAAAAGAGTATAGAAATTAAAGAGTAAATGTCCTGGCAAAAATTCCAAACGGAGATGATAGAAAAGAGACGAATGTCAGAGCATTTTGTTTAAACCCCCAACCACCAAACAAAAGAATGTTTAGTCAATAAAAGTATCCGTAGGGATGAAACATTAAATACAAAAGAAAATTATAAACTAACAAACAAAAAACCACTAAAAACACAGAACAAATTCTAAAAAATTCACATTCTTTCTTTACTTCTCTAAATACACACTATTTTATTTTTTGGATATTTTGTCATTTTTAATTAAAAACTAAACACAACGCCAAACACAGCAAAATTCAAAGCTGCGGACAGACAAACAAACAAGGCATTCTCAAATTTAATATAGGACTATTAATGCTCTCAAATTTAAAAGCATATCTAAAAGTGTAAATGATTAGCACAAACTCGGAGGTAAACTAGTGGTACGCGATGAAAAAATCTTGAGAAAGCACTACTAATTGTTATCTTGACATATACTTTGCTTACGGGTTTAGTGCAAAGGACAGCAACAAACTATCTTGGTGCGAAGGACAGCAACAAACTGTCTTTCGCACTTGATGCGAAAGACAGCAAGACAGCAACAAACATATTTTCCAGAAAAAATTTAAAAGAGAGAAACAGGCATTTAAACTTCTGATGCAGAAAAAAGCGCCTAAATGACCTATAAAATTCCCCTTAAGGTCGCTTCCGAAGTTTAAATGCCTGTTTCTCTTTTTAAAATTTTTTCTGGAAAATAAGTTTGTTGCTGTTTTGTAGCAAATTTCAAGGACTTTCGAATGAGCCCAAAATGAAAATTCAAAATAATCTATAGGGGGTCGGAAATATTTTTTAAAGAGACTTACCCCTGTTTTACGTTGATTTTCGAGGTATCAGGATCTCGTCTTAGGATAGAGATATTGGCCTAGTTTCTTGTTATTTTTTATAATATAAGTATATAAGTTTGCTGGAATTTTTGTAGATTTTTCCTAATGTTGAAAATAATTTTTTGGGAAGTGGAACTATAGTTATGTGGAGGTGTTTTCCAACAAAATATTTAAAACACTAGTAATTTTAATCCCAAAATTAAATTTTTATTTTTTACTAGTCTTTAAGGTACCTGAGGACAATATTTAAACGATAATTTAAAAAAATTGGGGTCTAAAAGTAGAAAACATGAAAATAGTGGTAGAACTATAGTTATGTGGAGCACTTATAAGCAACTCAGAAAAGACCTATCGAAATCAGAAGCCCAAGGCTTTAATTAAATTATTTGCGGTATTCTTTTATAATTCTTTAATAATATCAGACATAATTTTTTATCGACGTCTTGAAATTCCCAACTTTTTAAAATTTTTCGGAGTCATGTGTAAATTTCCTTTCCCCTCTCATGGGGTCCCTTACCCCCTCATGACTGCCTTCCTCTTAATTTTTTTATTAAACAATGGGAGCTGTCGAGTTAGACAATCGATTCCATGTTTAAATGCCTTTATTGGGAAGGGAGGGAGAGAGGGAGGAGGGGGGGGGAGGATTTTATCCTTCTTGCCACTTTAAATTTTTTTTTAAATAAAAATTATATAGACAATTTTAAAATAAATTATATAAAAATTAATTATTAATAAAAATTTTAAAATTAATATTTATATTGAAAAGGATTTTCAAGTAAATATGTAGAAAGGTGCTCTCTAGGGTTGTCAGATATGGCTTTGAAAAAATATAGAATCTGAGGTTTTAGTTATATCTAGAGTTGGGCAAAACGATACTGGTATCGGCCAACCCGAGACCGAGATTGACCGATACTCAAGAACCCGATACCGAGACCGATACCAACATTTTGAGCCGAGACCGATACCGAGAAACGATACTGACCGAGACTAACAGAAAATTTTATTTCACGTCAAAAAATACGTGTAAAAATAATTTATTCATTATTTTCATCATCCAAATCATCAAATAAATACTCTTCATCATCTGGATCCAATTCGATTGATGGTTAACATCCTTTTTTATAAAAAATACAATAGTAGGATTTATAGGTAAAAGGATTATACACTCTGTTCCAAAAGTATATTACATTCGATTACATTCGATATCCTACCGCCTTACATTCGATATCCCTCCAAATCCATTGATATCCCCATAAACACCCAAATCCCTCCAAATAACCCAGTATTGTATTTAAGCCTTTTAATTTTATTAAATTACTGGGACTCATTTGAGCTAGATAAAAGAGCTACTCAGTCGTGCGAACTCAATCGTGAGGGCTTAGTGAAATGCTCGGATTTTGTAAGGCAAATAAAGAAGGATTCACTCTTTTCAGCGCCGCAGGCGAAAATTTTTTGAAATTCAGAAGGCCAAAGGTCAAAAATCCTCAGTTTTATTAAAAAATACAAGAAAATTGGGGTCTTTGAGTCAGTATCGTTTCTCGCCGAGAAATGGACCGAGAATATCGGTATCGGTTTCGAGACCGAGAATGAAAAAACCGAGACCGATATTGGAAAAAAGCCGAGAATCTCGGTATCGGTCTCGGTATCGGTCTCGGCTTGTCCAACTCTAGTTATATCCGGTACCTCCGTAATTAAGTTTTAGTTTAATACTTTTATGCTGGTTATTTTTTATGGAAATGAAACTTTATTAAAAAAACTAACTGTAGATAAAGTTTTATGCCCCCGTCCTCAACAAAGAAACGGAACTTAATTCTAATCTATCAAAATAAAAAATTTTATTCAGTATTTCTAGTGTCTATACAAAAGATAACTAAACCCATTAAAAACTTGAAAAAGATAATCTAGTAATTAGGAAGATGTTATCTTCTATAAATTTAATTGTTTTACTATTTATTTTCTTCTATTACATCTCTAATTCCAACGTTACGCCCGTAGATGATAATAGCACTAAAAGCTTGGTAAGTTGAAATTTTTAAAAATTAATATCTACTTGGCGTGGGTTTAAGATATAATAAAGGAAAAGCTGAAAGTATGCACAGGTATTACCTCAGTCGATAAAGCACATTCGGTGAGGAAAACGCCTAGTAGTTAACTAATGATGGTCCTAGACCAATTGCGCGAAGGCCCCGATATAAAAAATCTAAATTTAACCAAACCCAAACTTAAAATCCAAAAAAACTCTAAATATTTAAGAACTTATAGACATTAAATAAATCGTTAAGGATTAATTTATTGTGATAATTTTCATCACAAATTTCAAGAAAAAAGCATTTCATTTTTATTATTGAAGTATATTAATTTATATACGGAAATTTAGTCTAGAGTTTTCGGAAATTGTGCACTGAATTTTTTTATAATTTTTTTAATTTTAGGAATCAACTTCAAGTTTTGGAAGTTGGGTGAGAGATAAGACAGACGATGAACAAACTGAAATCACCGATGCTAGCAGTAGTAATGTTGATAACGTTGATAGAAATGTTGATCAGGGTGAAGGGGTATCTGAAAATTTTTTAATATACCGTATTTCCTCTATTAGAAGGGCCTGTCACTCTATTTTTCAATGATCCTCCAAAGGGTCATTCAATTAGAGGAAATACAGTATATCTGCTTTAGCTTCGTAAATAATAGTTTATTTAATTTAGTCATTTAAATTTCCTCTGCCAACAACGGAAGAAGTCTCTGATCATTCTGTAAGGAATTTGATAAACATTTAAATAGAAAATTTGGTTATTATCATTTTTGTTTTTTTTGGAAATTTTTAAACGAAATTAAAACAAAATTAAGCAAAATGTCTAGGTCTAGGTTTAAGTGTATGAATATTTTTTCAATAAAATTTTCGAAAATTATATAGCTACAAATCTATGGAATTTTCTTTCAGTCAAAGTATGTAGGCTATAAAAAATCTAACATCGGTTTCAAAAAACTTATCAAAGAATCTTTGTAATTAAATTTTCAAGGCTGATACTATACATATGTACATACATATTATTTTAGAAATCGACTGATATTTTTAGTCATTGGTTTGCATTTCCGAAGTCAGATATGATAGAATCCAGCAATCCTATTTATGATGTGAATAGATGGAAAAAGGATGGACATTCGATGAGTAATGAATCCGACAGCGAGGTAAGATTTACTTTGTTAACAATTTTTTCTCTCGTTGTGGAAACCCACGGTTATGGCTATTTAACTATTTAATTAACTCTATATTTAAAATACCGTATTATCTCTAATAGAATGCCCGGGCATTCTATTTTTCAATCACCTTCCAAAGGGGCATTCTATTGGAGGGGGGCATTCAAATGGAGGGGGGCATTGTATTTTTCGATGAGTAAATTTTAAAGTTTGAAAAATTTTTAGATTAAAATTTTATAAAAAACTAAGTCTCATTTTGTCGTGTCCTGTTGATAACACGGTAACCTAAGAGTGTTTTAGTTAAAAAACATTTTCTATTAAAAAAGGAAACATCCTTCGCACCTCGCTTTTCAACCGAATTCCCACCGGTGTCCAACCAAACAGATGTCTCATCACAGCCATAAATTCTGTTACCAAAAGTTTCTTCATACGGAGTTTTTGGGTTTACTTGGACTAGGCTTATTAACAGAATCACTTATATTTAATACATAACGTCTGTATAATCATTTCACTAAACTAGAAAATTCGAAGAAGATAAGAATTAAAAATAATTTCCATGTTGTTTAAATAATAATTTAAAAATGGCAAGAAAAATAAGTAAAAGTGAATAGTAAACGTTTTAAATATATGTAGTAATTAATATCTTTTTATATTTAGAAAAATTTCAGTAAAAAAAGGGGGGCATTCTATTAGAGGGGGGCATTCAAATGGAGAGAGGCATTCTAATAGAGATAATACGGTATGAGAGAGGCTGTACTCTAGTATAAGACCAACAATTGGAAAACTTGTATTATACATATATCCTCCGATTCCTCTCGCCGAGCAGAGTTCAAATATGTAGGAATTTTTTGGTGGAGACGAAAAGCAGAGATATAGGCCCCCGAAAACTGAAAAACCATATGAGGGACGTGCTGAGTCGGGTGACTCCAAAATCATCGAAACCTGACTTGATTTGACAAATTTATGACGATCTGTTTTAACCCCTAACATAAGACCGCTGAGGATGAAACCGGGCATGTCGAGCGCCGCTTCGATACGGTCGCCGCGCTTACTCCCTCATATGGCTTTTTCATTTTCATTTGCCTATATGTATCTTTGAGAGTTTTTGTTCCGAAAATTCTTGCATATTTAAACTCAAATCGAATGATTTATGCTGAAGTTCTCTACACGGTGGTCCTATACTAAAGTGACCCCATTAGGAGAGACCCCATTGTTTTGTTATTATGAGGAATGCGAAAAATTTACCCCCCCCCCCCCCCCTTTATGAGAAAATTTGTTTATCTTAAGTGTTAAACAATTACGACACTTACTCTAGTAATGTCTGTTGTTATAATGAGCTTAGCTTCGGTCTGACTAAATAAATTTATTAAATTAAAACATTATTTTATTTAAGCTATTTGAAGTTGATACTATAAATGATTCACTTACACAGACAAATCAGGATGATAATGTAGGTTTTCCCACGTTAGTGGATTTATATAATTTTTAAAAAATGGTTTAATATTTAAATTTAGCCATCTCTCCAAAACAAATGGCCGAGTAGTGAATCCGAAAGCGATGTAAGTATTTTCGTTGAATAAATTTTACCCATAGAGTTAATTAAAAATTATTCTTCAATACATCAAATAAAACTACTACAAGGGTTATGTTTTATGGTTTTCTATTTTCTCCTAAATAGGATTTCCTCGGCTTAATAAAATGGTGTAAAAGATTATGGTATAACAAAATTGATAGAAATACCTAAATCCGTAATAGGGAATAGTTTTTGAACAATACCGAGAGCTCGTATTCGTACTTATTTGGAAGTACAGTACTTACAAATCGACCCCGTACTTACAAAATTGAAAGAGTAGTTATTTGTAATTATTTAATTACAAATGTTTACTTACAAATAATTATTTACTTAATTATTTAATTATTATTTAATTATTTACTTACAAATGGACTTTTTGGTGGAAAAAATAAATTATTAGAAAAAAAAGTTTAGAAGATAAATATAAGAGATTTGAGCGAGAATAATCTTTTTTTAAATGTATTTTTGTAGCGTACTTATATTTTGAAAAATTTTCACTCTATGTACTTCCAAATTAAACTTTTTGTACTTATGTACACGTAACATTTTTTCTATCCGAAGTCTGACAATACCAGAGAGTTTCATAGAAGGCTCTTGTCCCTATAAATGATTTTTCTCGCTTAAATAAAAAATTTTCAAAAACAAAAACTTTAAATCACTTTTAATTGACCATTTAATTTAGCTAATTGAAATTGATCATAGAAAATCAAATTTTCCAAAAAATTTGAAGAAACCGGTAATTTAACTTTTCTTAGTTAAATTTTAAAAATTATCAAATAATTTTAAAGTTTAATAATTTTGAAAAAGGAAGTACATCGAAGGCTTTGGGCACAGAGGAAATTGAGGAGGAGAACGTGCATACACAAGGAGGTAGAAAACTTAATTATATAATATTTTGTCCGCTATTAATACTGAATTTTCATTCGAAATTCAAAAAATTATAGCAGAAGGAGATTGGAAAACCTCCGCTATGCGTAAAAAAGTAAAAGAAGAAGCACCTATTACAAAGAAAAATGAAGCGGGAGAACAAAAAGGTGCTCCCTCAAGTCATATATCTGGCAAGAATATTCCTCATCACCATTCTCAAGCTCGTCTTCGTGGTGCTCAACCGGACATAGTTGGTGACAAAGGGTGGTCATGTAAACCTAAAACCGTAAAATCCAACAAGAAAAAAGAAAGGAAGCAACCTGATAATACTAAACAAAAAACCGAAGGTACTATGAAAGATCTAATCGATCAGGATAAAATTAAACCAAAGCGATGGCTCAGCTTATTAGGTTGTAGTTAAAAAAGTTGTGAAAAGCAAATGAAAAATTTTTGATGATATAATTGCTAAATTATTCATCTCTTCACAAAAATTCACATTAAATTTAAATTCACTCAACTAAAACTTGGAATTCAAAATTTTACCCAAATTTGTCACCTTTATAATGTTTTATATTTTATTCATTATTTTTACCCCGAATCATTTTATATTAAGATTAGAGCAAAAGTTTAGCGATTGGGAAGGAATCGAACCTGGGACCTGTTGTGTCCGCACTTGCAGAAAGAACATAAATGAAAATAAATAACCCATCATCGGGTTGGATGGTGGCACAGTCGGTTGTGCTTCGGTTTGGGCATCATTCCATGATGGTTCAATTCCATCTCCCATCCAATGAATTTTTCCACAGCATGAACATCGTATGCAATAGGACCTCTTGAAGTTTGCTGGACTCTGCCAGTAATCTCAGGAACGAAAGTTTTGCTCTAAACTGCTTTTATTGTTTAACCCCCGACTAGACTTTTTAAATGCTTCCAGATAAATTATCCCTAAAGTATTTATGTACATATTAACTAACCATCTATATATTTATGTCGAACATCAATTTGTAAACGGATAAATGTGATATATTAATTACTTGCTATTATTAATCTAAGCCTTTGTATCACAAATCAAAATTTAAAAAATTATTTAAACTTCCCGGATTTTAAGAAATAATGTGAGAAATTTCATGACACTTTATCATTTTATAAAAATTACTTTGACAATATGCCCATTGATATTTTATTTTTATTATCAACGAATTGTATTCTTATGTGTTCCTTCTTGTATTTTTATTCACCTTTTCACAATCATTCTATCCTCAATTATCTTCATTATCCTGTTCTTGATCATCCAGAGTGTTGTCTGTTGGTTGTTGTTCGCTGCTGCTAGAATGAGAAGAAGGACGGGGAAAGCAACATCCACGCGGAGGTGGGCCCAAAATTGAAGGAAGAATAAACGGCACTTGTTGACGAACTTCGGGGGAGGCTTGCTTATAGGCGTTTTTAATTTGTTGACATTCGGCCAAACGAGTTATGGTATCATCCTGACGAATACTCTGGAAGTTAAGAAATTGGGGAAGGTGGGGGGGGGGGGGTTGAGATTTTTGAAATAATGAAAGGTTACATCAGAATATTTTTCTAATTTAGTCAAAGTAATTCTATTAGTAACTAACCCAAATTTGGTTAAATAACGTCAAGGCTCCCCCTGTCAGGTTTTGGACAACTCTGTCATGGAATTGTTCAGCATCTCGTTGCAATTGTGAAGTGAAGTTATTGTAGGGTTGCTTAAAAATGAATGTTTTAATGTGAAATCTGGTATTTTTTGTAAACATTTGAAAGACAAATTTTGAAAATTGGGGATGTTTTTAATTTCCATGAATAGTGATTAGTTTAGATAAAAGAGGAAATAATGAATTAGATAGGGCCCAGGCCATACATATGTACTTGTCAAAATATTATAATACAGATCCTTCGTCCAATCCCAGCCCCATCTTTTCAACCAGGAAAGATTGGGGTCACTAACCTAATCCCAAACGTTCAAAGTTTCAAAACTAAAAAAATTCAAAACAATTTTTAACAACCAAAATTCCATTATTCTGTGCCCAATTCTGCAATTCACTTTTAATCTGCGCCTTTGTCGCAGTTATATTTCCCACAATTTCATTATATTCTCTAATTTGTTCTCGAGTAATATTTCCAATAAAAGGAGGTAGTAATTTAAGGATATTGCCTTTTGGGCCGCCAAATCCAAAGGAAATTGTTAAAGCAAAAAAGGAAACAAATAAAAAAAGGGAGAAAAATATTTTGGACATTTTTGGGGGGAGGGGGGATTTTTATTTGATTATTTATTTTATTTTTAATTTTTGTTTTTGAAAAATGTTTGTTATTCTAAGCGTTTTTATATTTAAAACTTTTTATTTGAAAAAGGAGTAAAAAATTTTTTTTCAAATTTTTTGTCAAAAGGGGAAGGGCAGGTGTGGCAATTGATGTAAATTGAATGAATCACACAAGTATTTACGTAAGAATTTTTATTATTATTCAAATAAAGGGTAATAATACCTCTAAATATTGGGAAAAATTGTAGTTTGGTAAAAAGTTGTGACCCTGTATAGAGTAGAGTCTTAAAAATATATTTGGAGATTGGATAAACTTATTGAAGCTGTTTTTATAATATTCGATGGAAGAGAAAATTTGTTACAAAAATTTAAAGAAAGGATTGGACAAGATGATGTGGTAGTAGACGAACGGGTATAAAACGTGCTGAAAATGTTTTTGGACATGTAAAGTGTAAATGTAATGGATAACACATCAGTCCGGTCTACTGAAGATGCTGATTCGATCACAGCCGCCGAATAACCTTTTGCACGAGCTAAAGGAGATAAATAGCTATAGCCAGCTGCTTTACTTTTCTAATGTTTTATTTTGAAAATTTGAAATAAGATTTTATTCAATATCAGTCCTTTAATTTCCTTTAAAAATTGTTCTTTTATGACACTTTTATGTGATTTATTCTCTATTTCCACCTTCCTATAAAAGCTTTCCAAAAATAATAAAATTATTAAAAATTAATTCTAAATTACCAGGACTCAAATATTTTTTTAAAAACAAACTCCACTTTATAGTTCATAACTTTTTAATCTCCCAATAAAAAAATTTTTTAATAGAGAATGGGTAAAGTTTATAGTTTTTACATATATTTAGTATTTTTGTGTAAATATATGGAATATATGAGTAATTATTAACTCCATCAACAACCAAAAAAGTTTTACGTCACTAATCCATTGTTTAGATTTTTTAAAATATTTTTATAGCATGATATTCTCCTTTTTATTACCGATTACGTTTATATTTTTTGTTTTTTGATTTTTAAAATAATTTTTCTAATTTTGTGTTTTCCTTGGGATAACATTTTAGGAGATCACCCCAATATATCGATATTGCTCCCATATATCAAATAGTTTTATAACACTACCTCTATATATCGAAACTGGAAAATCTTGTTACAATCTGGGAAATGTTGTTCCAACAACGGGAAGGTTGCTCCCTGAGTTTGAACAACTGTCCCCTTGTTGGAATGATTTTTTCGACTTATTAATTTAGATGTAAGTAGATTTTTGAAAGTTATACATAATAATTTTTAAAAACCTCGGTTATCCTCGGTCCTCTGCCCCTCGACCTCGGCTTTTCCAGCCTCGGTGACCCACGGCTGTTTTTTCGAAAACCTCTGCCTCGTGCTACTCTACTTAGAATTTTGGAATACCCCTGAGCTAAATTTTTCCCTATTTCAGCGACGCAGGCGAAAACTTCGTGGATTTGAAAAAATCATCAGTCGGAAATATGCTTCAAAAATTATCGGAAATCAGAAATTTTTCTAAATTTTCGGAAATCGAAAGGGAAAAAACGTCGGAAATCGGAGGTTGGAGTTCCGATTCATCTCTGCAACTGATGAGCATATAACTTAGAAATATTCAAGTAAAGTCGGGAAATATAGGTAAATATTTATTAATGATTTGCCGACATAAAAAATAATATTCTCTTTCAAAATTATTTTTCATTTATGTATGATAGGCGCTAAAAATAAAATCATTTGCACTTTCCTCTCGACGAATATTGAATATTTCTAAAAAATGTCGAAGAAAATAAATTAAAAAATTAAATTTCATTAGTCAAAATAGCGCTTAATAACAAATAAATATTATTTCATAATAGCCTGCCAAATTAATTGAAAAATGAAATTTAATATTCTTATGTAGACATTTAAAAGTTATTCTTTATTTTTAATTTAAAAATTCTTAAATCTAAAAGTTTTAAATTTTTAAAAATTCATGGAGTTTGGGTTGTGGGCACACAAAAAATAAATGCTTCAGATAATTACATACCGTATTTATTCTAATTTAATGGCCACCATTCTATTTTTCAATAGAATTCAAAAAGGGCCATTCAAATGGAGGGCCATTCAATTAGAATAAATATGGTAGATCCTTTCAATTAATACTCAATTTGTGAGGAATAACTGAATAAAACAGTTGTCACGCTAAATAATAATTACATTTTTTATTATTTAGATGACTAAATTATTTCTTTTGTTAATCCTTTATTCAATTAATTTTTTAAAATTTCAATGTGAAAAAGAAATAAGATATCCTATAGAGGTTGAAATTAAAATAAAAAATGATTGGAAAGATAAACGGCAATTCATTTATTTAAAAAATATTAAACAAAAAGAACGTTTTGTGTTGAAATCGAGAACATTCGGGAATTCAAGAACCATTAGTGATGAAATTATTTTCAATGTTTTAGAAGGCTTAGATATTCTCGAGTTTAATCCAAAAATAAATTCTTTTAATGTTAAACTTCCTGATTATTCAAAATTTAATAAAAATATTCAATTAGCAAGGAAGATTGTTATCCAAGTTTCCAATCATCAATTTATTCAAAAATTGATACCTAAATTGGATAAACAGGTTAAATCTTACAAACTTCAGCAAATGTTTGTGTAGTGGTATAATACATAAACAGTCGGCTTACAAGTATAAGAGCTCAAAATAATAGCCTAATGGATCATACTAGACCGACTAGTCTCTGAACTCATTAGTCATTTAACCCAATAAGACCCTCGTCTTCATTGTATTTTCTACATTGAAAAACTGTAAACTCGTCGACTTTGATATCTTGGGCAATCCTATTGTTATTTAAGAGACTTTTATGTCTATGTACTAACAAAGAATAACGAGATAAGAAAGTAACTAACAAACTGTGCTTTATAACGATAAAATGTAATAATATATAATAGTGAATAATAGGAAGGTTTTTATACTAAGCCAATACCAACAGCTAGGACATAAAAGGACTTAGACTGACATTTTAACATTGGTATACTATATTAAGACTAAGGTGCTTTAATGAATGTTTGGGGAGGGTTGCGATAATTAATGATAATTGAGATTATTAATGGAGATACAACTAAATATTGTTTATTAGTTGTTTAAAAAAGATTTTATTAATGAACTTAAGGTTTTTATAAACAATAAATTTATTAAAAATAAAAAGAATAATAATTATAAAACTTCAATATTGTACAAAAAAATAAATGAAAATACTTCAAAAACAATTAAAGAAAAAAATAAATTAGAAGAAATAATTGATATTTATAAAGAAAATCTTTTATCGAGTTATTGGGAGGAAATTAATTTGTTTGGATATAAAATTGAATTGATAAACAAAAATAAAGGAAATGACCAAGTTTTGTTGGAAGGATTTAACAACACAATTATTTTCATTGGCAATAAAATAAGTAATTCAAATTTTGGATTAAACATCATACATATATTTATAAATTACTTTAATTATATATAAATATTTATACACTCTGTTCCAAAATTATAACCGCTCGCCCTATTTTTCTCAATATTTCATGTTCCAGTCAAGTTTTTAAAAGATTTTTTTAATTATCATATAGGGCCGAGGGATAAACAATATTTAATAATGAAATGGATTTTTTAATTTGAGGACGTTGAATTATTTAACTTTTTTTGAAATAAGGTGTGTTTTAAAAAATTGACTGGAACATGAAATATTGAGAAAAATAGGGGTGCGGTTATAATTTTGGAACAGAGTGTATACACTCTATCCTAAAATTATGAGTTCACCCCAAAATTTCATTATAATATAGTAGGTAGTTTGCCGATTACAAACTCAAAATATTTATTCATAATGTTTATTTAGCTTATTCTGAAATATATTGCAAGTTCTCAGACAATTTTCATTATTTTAATTTTCCTAATTTTTTAGAGCTAAATAATAAAGTGAACTCATAATTTTGGGACAGAGTGTATAGATATAAGAGGACAAATGTAAAAAACTGTCTATGTAGATCAGATCAAAGGTTCTTTGAGAAGTGATTGAAAAATAAAGCGGTTAGAGCCGCTTTATTTGAAAACCATTTAGGACGAGTATCTATAGGGAGTATTAGTAGGCCGAGAGTAACCTGGACAATCAAGCAGCATTTTTATTGGGTAAATCCTTATTTTTGTCCAATAAAAAATTAAAAAAAAAACATTTTTTACTGCTAATTTTGGAGCACAATTTTTTTTATTAATTTGTGGAAAATTATAAAAATTAAGGTGAAATTATGGAAGGGAAAAAGCGTCATTGTTTTATTTGTAATGTTACAAAAACTAAAAGCTGGTGTAGATACATAACCAAAAAATATATTTGCAATAGCTGTTATGATCAAAAATGGTATTTAGAAAATAGAAAACCGAGAAAGAATAAAGTTAGTCAAAAAGTTTTATAAAATTTTTTGGGCGTTTAAAGCTTGGGGCTTGGGCTTTTCAAATAACGATTAAAAGTAGTCCTGAATTTTGCACACTCAGTAACTAGTCTTTTTAACACGAACTGTAATTTTCTAGATAAGCATGCATTTAATTAGTGACGGAAAATAATTGAACGGATTTGCTAATCTACCGTATTTACTCTGGTAATTCCCCAGAGGGATTATTGTTTCAACCCATCTCTAGGGTGGGGAATTAATAAAGACTGGGGAATTATAGAGTGGGGTAGAAAGAGGGGGATTATTGTTTTAACCCATCCCCAGGGTGGGGAATTAATAGAGTAAATACGGTATTACTTTTTTAAGACAAAAATAATTAAATTTTAAAATTTTAAACGTTATAAAACAGGTTCAAAAAGAAAAGATTTCTGAGATAGCATGCGCTAACTGTGGAACAAACTCTAGCCCAAAATTTCGCCGAAACAAAAACAAAGAAGTTGAATGTAATGCATGTAGCATTTACTTTATGAGATATAAGGTGAGTAGGTTTTTTCACTGGGAAAAAGGCCCGTCTCCGTGACTTCGGGCTTCGGTCCGGCAGAAATTACAATTTTAACTTTTATTATATTTAAATTTTAACTTCCTGTGTACTTCTAAATTAAAAAATTTACACAATGTTCAAAAATTATTTAGAAGCCAAGGCCATTTAAATTGTTAAATAAAAAGAATGATCGTACAATCACCAAAAACGATGAGCCTACAATATGACACATACAAATATGAAATGAATCTAGAAAATTAAAAGTCAATGATTTTACATAAAAATTAACTCTATAGAATTTTTACAATAATTAATTCATATTTCCTTTTTTTATTTCTTTTACATTTTAATCATCTTTTCATGATTTGTCTAAGTTCACCACAAGTTTTAAATTTTTGAATGTTTGAAACGTTATAATTTTTTCTCAGACAATAAATTTTTAGAAATTCTTACAGACATCGTTAAGAGGAATCGATGGTATAGTAGTGTAGTTGGCTTAGTTGATTCTTGAGGTATTTATCTGATCGAAATTTGAAACCTCATATTCGTTTTAATTTTTAGTAGAAGATCGGCTTTTGAGGAGATTTTTTTAAATCATGATTTCTCTCAGAAAATTTGTTTTTACGAATCTGAAAAATCATCCAGACAAATCTGGAATACTGGAATATTATGTTATAAAATGCATAAATAAATATATGCATATTTATTACTGATATTTTTATTGTTTTTGCTTAATTAGTCTAACAATAAAGGTTAAAGGAAAAAGACAATATCAATGATTTTTTATATAAATTTTACATAAAACAGATCGTTTGAAGCTACCCAAAAAGTTGTGTTAATTTTGTAGACGTTTTTATGAACAATTTTATGAACAATTTTATTGTATAAAACAATTTAAAAATTCAAACGTAGTAAATAACAAGAAAAATACAGATATCCCTGTTGTCTAGGCTTTTACTCACCAAATTTAATTCTTATGTTTAACAACATGTAGTTGTTTACTAAATATTTTTAAAAGATTTTAAATAAAAAAAAGAATTTGTTATCGTTTCTAACGTTACGAGATTTAAACTTTTACATTTTATTCAATTAAAAAAGAATAACATTTCATTAATTTTACATTTAATTTAGCTTTTATTGTTTCCTTGTTCAGTTTAGAATCCTTTAAAAATCCTAAAAATGCCCTATCTCGTACAGGCAACTAATCCTTACTGAGTTAGAGCTGATGAAAACACTCATACAGCGGAAATTGGAATGCCGAAAACTGAAATTGGATTTAATGATAAGACAATAAGACAAGCTTTTGTTCGGAAGGTTTTTACTTTGATGACTATCATGGTGTGAAATTTATTTATTTATTATATCAATTATATCCTTTCAAGATAAGTGTTGTCTCGGTTATGTCAGCAATTCCTTTATTTTACCGTGATGGCGATAAATATCCACTTAGAGATTATCTGAAGAAAAGTTCGGGGCTTTATTTGTTGTCATTAATAGTTTTTCTGGTTGTTTATTTTGTAATAATATGCTGTGAAAGTGCTCGTCGAACACATCCAACAAACCTGATTAGTACCGGAATTTTAACTCTTTCAATTGGATTTCTTGTATTCTTTTGACACTTTATTATCATTTGATAACATCTTTATTAGGCCATGGTCATAACTTCTTACTATTCCCTCGATTCTGTTGTCCTTGCTTTCGTTGTTATATAACTCTCTGCTGTGGTGGAATAGTTATTTTCTCGCTGATCACTAAACGTGACATCACCAGGTTGGATTTTTCAGCATTTCTTCTACCTCTCATTCAAATTTCATCTCATTTTTATTTTAAAATTTCACTTAAGTATTCTTGGTTTTGCGGTTATACTTGGAATGGTTTTGATACTTTTTGGATTTTTTGCTGGCATTTGGACAATGATTTTCCATACCCGGACTCTTTATCTAGTTTTCAATCTTCCATTCCATTTTTAAAAATATTTTTTCAGATCTATGCAGGTATTGGCATTCTTGTTTTTATGTTATATTTGGCTATTGATATCAAAGTAAGGTTAAATTTTGTTCATTTTCAAAATCAGATTATATTTACATAGTTTATTATGGGTGGGCATAATTATGTAATTGAACCAAAGGAATATATTTTTGCTGTTATTACGGTAATTTAATCAGAAGAAATTTAATTTTTAAACATTTCTTTTTCTTAGCTTTTCGACATTTTTCAAATCTTTCGATTCATTCCTTCTCTTTTTGGTCATAGATCGGCTAGTTATTTATATTTTAAATTGTTTAATTGATGATTTTTTAGTAAACAAACGGAACATTTTCTTGATGTATATTTTTGGAAAAATGTAATGCTAACTACATATTAATATTAATTGTAAAATTCTAAAGGGCTTTGATTAATAAAAATATACATAGGTAAATACCGTATATGCTCGAATAATTACCCCTCAATTAATTACCCCCTTTAGAGAGGTTGAAACAATAATTACCCAGGGTAATTATTAGAGCATATACGGTATACATAATTAATATATAATATTTATTTTTACAATTAAAATTCCAAACAAATTATAAAAATTTTATTTAAAGAGAGCCAAATATTTTCCTTTGAACATTTATTAGTCACAAGAAAGAAGTGACAAAATCTACTAAAAAATCTGATATTAGTGGGCAACAGAATTTTGGTCACTCTCCCGTTGATAAATTTTCAGGAAGTTTGAGCAACCCGTGAATTGATCAACTGTGAGAGTGAAAACCAATTTTTAGCAATTTAATATTAGTTCTAGATAAGATTTTTTTACGGTTGTTCAGTAAAATTCCAGTGTTCAATATTCCGTTTTTTGACTTGGTGACCATAATTCCGCTGGTGATCAAAATTCCAAAAAATTGGTTTTATGTTTCAAATATGATCAAGAGAATCAAAATGAAATTTAGAATTTGTTGTCCATGCCTTTCTTACATTTTCACTTTTTTGTTTTTCTTTTGGATTTATTAGTGAATCCGAAACTAAATTGTCGGCATTAGTAATTGATTTACCCAAATTATTCAAAGGCATATTATTATTGTTTTGTTTAGGTAATTGGTCCTCATCGTTCTAAAAATAAAATTTTAAGAAAATCTATTAGTAAATTCTAAATGGTGTTGTAGTCCCTTAATATCTGAAAAGGCATTAGCAGTAGAGCTCGGAAAAACCGCAAAATCAAATATCAAATCAAACTATTTGATATTTGAAAGTATTTGAAAAAATTTGATTTTCTTCAAAACTCATCAAACAAATATTTGATCAAATAAAATCAAATAAAATTTGATCAAATATTTGATTTTCTAACGTCAAATATTTGTTTGGTCCGATCTCTAATTAGCAGTTGTGGCAATTGTGTAGATTCAAGACCATTCATGATTATTTAGGTATTTCGAAATTTTTTAAGGAAGGATTGGGTTACCTGAAACCATATCAGAAGGAAATTATGAAATCCAAACTAATTTTTCCTCAACCCGACCTATTCTCATAATTTGAGATATCTTTGCGACCTATAAAGATTTGTTAGTCCGACATTCAAAACCCGACTTTTAAATTTCCTAAACAGTATTTCAAAACAAAAATAACTAACAAATCCAGCATTATTCGCTCCATTATTTCTTCCACCACCTCCATTTCTTGCCGTATCTCCAAGCACTCGCCCTTTATCTTGCCAATCATCAACACTTAAACAGCCTAAAATTTCGTAGACTCTTTGACGAAAATCCTTTTAAAAGATTTTTCTTTTAAATTTTATGTTTCCTTACGGCTTTGAGGACAAGATAGATAAATAAGTTTACTGAACATTTAGCAGCAATCATCCAATTGGCAGGGTCAGATAAAGCTATGTTTAGCTATAATTAATTGTATTTATTACAAGTTTTCCCCAAAGCTGTTAATTTTTAGGCAATTACAAAAGCCGGTCTTCTATAGCCTTAGAATAGGGGCTCCGGTCTAAAACTAGGGCTCGACAAGAAAATTCTAATTACGAAACAATATAGCAATAGAACTGATCGCCCAATAGATCTTGTGTAGAATAAAAATATTCGGTGCAAATTCTTTGCCAACCATTAAAATTTTTTTTCAATTTTCAACTTTTTTCAACCCTCAACCTTTACAACTTTATCAACCTTTTTTTAACTTGTAACAAATTTATTTAAACTTACCCTGCCAAACCAAGCAGAAACTAACGAAATACCATTCGGTATTGCTACAGTAAGTGTTGACATTATCGATATCAACAATAAGTAGTGAATACGTCTAACTTGTTTTTTAACTTCAAAACGATTTTCACGTTGGGAGTAAAGATGGCCGAGACGGCAAAGGGTTATGCAGTTAACCAAAAGTCTAAAATATTTTTTAAATAATTTAGAGTCTAATTCTTAAGAAAGTATTTTTTCGGAAAAATGCTCAAAAATTTTAAATAACTGACAGTCCAAAAATAGTAAATTGAATCCTTCTGTATTACACTTGATAAAAATAACGGAATTAAGGGAAAGAAACAGAGACCCCGAAGCAATACTTTGCTTTACTAAAATAAATTAGCTTACGCAATTACAAAGCCTAAAACATCGGCCAAATAAACATAAGTTGTATAGCTTTTAGTGAACGCAACCTTAGAAGAAAGTTTTTAAAGAGAAAATATTTTTAAAATTTTATTTGTTGAATTCTTCATATTTAAATAATTAGAAAAATTATTACTTTTCTGCCACAATAAGCCTCTACAGCTCCCTTATTTCGGTTCAACCAGGCTATTGTATATGCAGTTGTTACGGCAATAATTGTATAAATTAGAATAGCTAATGAAGGAATATTCTGACTTTAATATAAAATTTTGTATTTTGGAGTAAAATATTGGGTATTACTGCTTATTTTTTCGAACATAAAAATTAGAGTAGTTTCTTAAATGTATGTATATACTAAATGTATATACCTATATACTCCCAGAATGTTTTGCTTATGTGTTGATCTTTAGGTTTTCACTATCTCTCTTTATTTTCCTAGTTTAATGTTTGATGTTCTCGAAATTTCAAATTATGAATTTTATTTCGAAATTTTAAAAAAATATTTTCGATTTCTGAATATATTTTTTTAAACAGTTCTGATTAACCTTGATTATCCTTTCCAAATTTAACTTTAAAAAATCTCAACTGTTTTATAATATGTTTTCTATAAAAATCAGACGCATAAACAGCAACAAAGCGTTCAATGCTAATCCAAAAGACAATTCCTGGGGGTATCAGAGCCCCCAAAAGACGGAGATAGACAAACGGTTTGCCGGCACACGTCCAAGAGGTCTTCAAATTATTGTAGAAAGTTTTGATAAATTAATAGACTCCTCTAAAATTACCTCAATAGGCACTCTACTAGTCTCCATAACTGTTGTGAACAATCCTTTACGCATTAACCCTAAATCCAACACTCCAATACTTGTGAAGAGGTCAGCTAATGCCAAAAGGGCTAGTAACTATAAATTATATGTATAATATAGTTAGATCTCAGTTGTATGTCAACTATCGTATTAAAAAGTGTGTTAATATGAGAGTATCGTAAACGTTGATGTCGTATAACAGGGTTGCGTCGTAATCGAAAATTTTTTTTCGTAATCGTAATTCGTAAACAAAAAACGCCGTAATTCGTAATTACGACGCAACCCCGTCGTATAACTGAAGTCTGACTTTTCTAAACTAATGTTAAGACTGAATGAGGGTTTGTGATTCGAAACTTAAGCGAAACATTAATGTCCTTTCGGTTCGTCCAATTTTAGAATGATATCGAACTTTCGTCACTAGAAACGAATCACTAATCATTTAAAAAATATTTCATAGAAATACTTTATTTTCCAAACAAACCTTATTATGTAAAAAGAATTGTTTTGAAGAAATAAAAATAAGAAGAGTAAGAGCACATAAAAACGAAGAAATACCGCCAATCTTTTTTTTAAAAAGAATAATTTAAAAATTTAAATTAATCAAAATTACAATAATATCAATGCTGTGAAATCTAATCAAAGCAATTAATTGATTATCGTCATAACCACTTGGTCCCGAATTTGGATCTGATGGATCGCTGATATATGGGGAGGGAGATGATGAAGTTAACATTTTATATAAAAATATTATACAATTAGTTGTGGCATTTTTTAATTAAAAGTACTGAAAGCATAATAAACCTTTAATTTATATAAAAGTTTATAAAATAATAAAATTTCAAAATATGTTTAAAGTAAAAGTTCGGAATCCAATAAATAGGTTTTCTTTTTTTTCCAAAACCAAAATGCCGATAGCTCCTGAAGGCTAATTACTGTGAGAGTTAAAGGATAGACAAATAGAAAGTTAAATTCTAAAATGTACATACAATAAAGCTTAATCGCATATAAGGAGGAAGAGACTTATGTAGTTAAGTAAACCTTTAATATCTACTACCGGATATCTACGATTGAGATGTCTTTAAGGTAGCAGCTATATCTCGGATTCCCTCGATCCGATAATCATATTTTATTGAGGTAATTTTCCATTTTAAAAAATTGATGAATTTTCAGTTATTGTATTATTTCTCTTACTTTTATTAAAATATTTAAAGGTAATTTAATAGTTTAATTATTCCGTAAATATTTTTGGAAAAAGCAAAATTAATGGAACTTATTCTAAAAAAGAATAACGAGGGATTTAAGTAAAAAAGAAAATATTATATACAAACAATTTCTGCTTTGGCATTTTTTAAATTAAAAGGGAGAGAATTGGTCCTATTTTAATAATTCAGACAATGTTTACATTTATTATATTTGTATTATGTTAGAATTAATAATTGAATGTGGAAAAAATTATG